GATGGCTGATTCAATACAATACGACATACAAATCCACAACATAAGGCAAATGGATAATGTTATATCTTCACATGGCCTAGATATGTCATGAGAATACGTAAATAACTCTAATTTTGTATGCGAGTGTTTTCCAGGCTCAATGTTTGACGCCCATTGGAACCAAACGCTGAAAGATAAGATGGATTGTGTCAAAATAACTGGTGAGACGTTGCTCTCTGTTCTATTCCCTTCGAGCCAATTCATGGTTTGAAGTATCAACGATAACAAATATCGCAACACGCAGATAGTCGTCTGTATGATGTCATGACCATGATATTTTCGTGGTCATTGCTCTGCAGAACTCACCCAACTAGTTCCACCACTCAGAACTTTTGAGCGTTCCACTAGGTTCTCCACTAGCTCACACAACTTCACCGTCCAAATTCCTTGTTCGAAATCTTTTTACAGTGACAGCTTCTTTCCCCGTACGGCCAAGCTTTGGAATTCCCTCCCTGACAAGTGTTTCCCACCAACCTACAATCTACAGGCTTTCAAATCAAACGTTCACCGCCATCTCTTGACATAGCCATGTTTCTCTCATATTTCTAGTTCAATGCCGAGAAGTGGTCTAATAGGCCTTGCATTGAGCCACTCCGTTGAAAAAAAAGATGTATGAGTATGTTCAGAAAATTCGGTCTGCATCGTTTATATGTATGAAAGGGTTGCAGCTGATACATGTAGGCCATGGGAAAGGAGAAAGAACGCCGAAGGAAATAGAATACATTTATATGTATAATATAACATATATCATATATCAACCACTTTTCAGAACACCTTAATATGTTATACGCTTTTCTAGATCTCCCCCGTAGCAGTCATTTGATGTATTTGCGGGGCTCGTTTCGTTCCGAAGTAAAATCTCCAGCTTTATCACACAGGCTGGCATTTTCCCCGTAAGGCTCGTAATGGTGATCCATTGGTGCTGCGCTGCGCTGTAGGTCCTCAAGGGGGCGCGGTTGCACGTGAGCACCGCCGCTGTGGAACCCAATATAAATCTGTTCACTCTATCTCTGGATACAACTCAAAAGCTATATAAATGCCGCCTGTCTGGCAACGGTTGGAGCAGTTAAGGTCCCATATTATTCACCACAAAATGTCAGGGTACGAAGATGATAGCCTATTTGGCAAATTGTAAAAATATAACGATTACAATAAAAATGGTGTACATGTTACATAAGCCCTAGTACTAGTTCTGTTACAGTTACACCACAGTTACGGCTCCATATTATTCACCACAAAACTTCATGCTACAAAGATGATAGCCTATTTCTCAAATAGTAAAAAAATATTACAACAAATATGGTTTACAGGTTACTTAAGCGCTGTTACAGCTACTCCACAGTTAAAGCTCCATATTATTGACCACAAAACTTCATGCTACAAAGATAATAGGCCATTCCTCAAATTGTAAAAAAATAAAGATTACAATAAAAATGGTTTATATTTTATAACCAAGCGATGTTACAGTTCCGCCACATACTGTTAAGGCTCCGTATTATTCACCACAAAACTTCATGCTACAAAGATGATAGGCTATATTTCTGAAATTGTAAAAATATAACGCGATTACAATAAAAATGGTTAAATGTTACTTAAGCGTTGTTACAGTTACACCACAGTTACGGTTCCATATTATTCACTACAAAACTTCAGGCTACAAAGATGATAGCCTATTTCTCAAATAGTAAAAAAAATATTACAACGAATATAGTTTACATTTTATATAAGCGATGTTACAGTTACATATAAAGATCATAGCCCGGCTTTGTCATAGGCTATTTCTCAAATTGTAAAAACATATAGGATTACAATAAATATGGTTTACATGCTACATAAGCGTTATCACAGTTACACCAGCCGTAAGTAAATTTTTGATGACAGATTATTGGCTGTAGGGGTAGGTTGAACTCACAGGTCAAGGCTAGCTATTGGGGCTGTATTGATAGATTGATAAGAACCATAACCAGAATATGGATACACGGAGCATGTAATATAGATGATTATGATACGATATAAAATCTAGCTTTTGACGTGACTGAACTGTAGTGAAAAGGAACACATACTGTGCCAAGGGATTATACTAGTGGAAAACGTTTCCAATGATAATATGTAGACTGTACATTTTCATTTGCGTTTTGAACAGTGCACAGTGATGCAGTTTTTTAGACGGATAAAGTGAAAATAGCGGTACCGAGTCAACTGACAATTATGTTACTCTCCAAGCAGAGGTTTGGGCTTTGGCTTTTTTGGGCATGTTTTAGGCTTTTTTTTAACCGGGCTGTCTTTTTTGCACTGTTTTTTACGGTTAGAGCAAAAAAGAAAGCCCGATAAAACAAGCCTTAAAACGCCGACAAAAATGAGCCAAAACCCAAACCCCTGTTTGGAGAGCACTATTAGGTAGGATTGGTGGATATTTTTTTACTCAAAAACAAACTTGCTTTGTTTTGTTTTATTCGCTATTATTTTAGTCTCTACTATGTCCACCCTTCAAAAGCAATGTCAATGCTCATTTTATAAAAACAAACAAATTACGCGAAATCGCAAAACAAGATTGGTGGTTTCAAGTAGAGAAATTACATCGTAATGTAACAAAACATCCAACATTTTTTTTATCATTGTCTTATGCTGGAAAATATATGATCATACATAAGCAGATATGATTCTAAACCTAATGGCACTATCTATCTTGTGCTGTGCGTAGGTATTTTTAGGAAAGCGCAAACGACAACACTACAATATTATCATATCTGGCGATCTACTCCCTTGAACCCGGATGTCTCATAAACGACCACCGCGCACCTTTTCGCGCATGCGCTAGTTTGATAGCCCGAGGACCCGGATGTAGCCGTTCGAACACACACGTCATTAGTGACGTCAGAGGCAGACAGATGCCAAAATTCATTTATTGGCCCTTGCATAACGCAACTGAAGGGAAAAAAATCTCTTAATTTAAGAACCGTTTCAACAAGACAACATCAACACTGCCACTGTTTAGCCTCTACCAGGCTTCGGGTTTGCGGCAAAATGTTCTCTCCAAGCAGACCAACTCCCCAGGCATGTTATCTCTCTATTTGGCCGATTTCTACTCTTTTCAGTCGCCTCCCGAAGCCTGGTAGAGGCTAGCCACTGTTACCCGATACGTAAAGATCTATTCGGTTTTGGCAAATTGATTTCAATTGGAGTCTTTGAAGTTTCAACCCACTTAAGATAGAGAGATAATACCTAATATTAGTAATAACGCTATACAGTACAGAACAACCTAAATCGAACAAATTTACATACTCAAGGTCGTTGAATTTTGAAGGACGTCACCCGCAGCATTAGGCACAAAATAATATGTTCTATATAATTAAGAGGACCCTGAATTGAGAATCAATATCTATAACTAAGTGTAGGAATTTCAAAACGTAAAGATTTTCAATAAACTCCTGTATTTAGTAAAAATCAGATATCAATTGTAGTTTTTGCGACCTATGACATATATAGTTAGGCCATACAGATTTGATTATATGGATGGCATCTTATGGGTACCCCAAAACTGATGCGAGCGTAAGATAAAAAGGTGGAGAAAAGGTTTCCTCTATTTGGAAATATCTTATTGTTGTTTCTTCTGTTTTTCGAACCTTTTTTTTACATTGGTTGACCTATATATCTGTACCCGTGCATTTAAGGCATCCAATGTATTTTCAAAGGCAAATTTCTGTTCATTCTTTTACAATGTAGGAAGTGGAATCAGTCTCAGGGCATACTGACATCTGTGAGATAAAGATTTGATGCCGCTGATGGAAAACGCTTGCTTGTTTATGTGGTACGCTGTTTCTAGCTATTTCTGGGCGGTACGTGGGATTATTTCACGTAAGCATGAAGCACGAGATAATGACGAAAATGTGCTTAGAAATGGCAGTAACTGTCAGTACCAGAATATTTCTTTTTGTTTTTGTCACCCTTAAATTGCATCAGATGCCTTTGATGGCAACGTTTGAGCCTCAGCTGCCGTTAACCCGTTTTTAATTGGCGTATAGCTAAATCAAAGACGAAGGAACTTTTTAAAACTAGACAGGAGAAACAAGGGATTTGACAGTTGCCGTTAGCTACGCCTGTACAGGATTCCTCAAGGCGCACAATCCGTACGTACCGGCCGCAATTGATTATCTTATTCAGGGGTGCCAGAGTATACCGTGCAATCTTACGGAATACAGTGCAATTTTACGGAATACCGTGCAATCTTACGGAATACAGTGCAATTTTACGGAATACCGTGCAATTTTACGGAATACAGTGCAATTTTACGGAATACAGTACAATGGTATTACAGTAGTATACAGTGCAATTTTACGGAATACAGTGCAATTTTACTAGTATACAGTGCAATTTTACTAGTATACAATGCAATTTTACTAGTATACAGTGCAATTTTACTAGTATACAATGCAATTTTACTAGTAAACAGTGCAATTTTTCTAGTAAAATTCATTCGTAATTTTACTAGTAAAATTGCACGATTGCACTCATCATTGGCAGTCCAGTCTCGGAAGACTATTGCATTGTATTCCGTAAAATTGCACTGTATTCCGAAAAATTGCACTGTATTCCGTAAAATTGCACTGCATACACTGGCACCCCTGCTTATCCGTATGCGGGCAGGCCTAATGATTCCGCGCGGCACTTAAAGTAACGTTGACGTGACACGAGCGTTTCAATTGAGCGCGCCGCCGAGTGCAATATGAATCACTGTGCCGTTATCAGTCCCACATACTGTACATACGCGCGCGCCGCGCGGCTCATTCATGTACGCCCAGGCACCGGTCTACACGTCTGCCGGCCCGGCACAGTCACACCTCCGGTTGATGGATAGATGAGGTCGCGCGCCGGCGAGGTTGTTGTTTAGTTTTAGCTAGCTGTGACGTGTGTGCGGTTGGTTCAGCAAGCCTGTGAGAGCGAGCGAATCGCAGATGTTACACATGGATCCGCGGCAGCACGTACAGCCTGTAGCGGAGCGCCGCTCGGTACCGTGCGGGACGAAGCCTCGCCACTCCCGCCGGAAGTTCTACTGCTGCCTGCGGGCTGACAGCGACAGCGATGCGAGAGAGTCGCCCGAGAAGAAGCCGCCTGTAGCAGCGGCGGGGGTGGGGGTAGCGTTAGGGAGACCGGCGCCCGCCCAAGCTTGCGACGTGGACTGGCAGCCTCTCTCACCGCGCATGTTGTCCTCTTCCCCCGACAGGTCCAGCGGCTTCAGGACGGAGAGGAGAGTAATGGAGGCCGGGGATGCAGTAGAGACGCCCCGCTGTACTACTACAGATACAGATACGGACACGGACTGTGCCCTGGCCAGAACACTCGCCGACACGACTTTAGAAACCTCGCTCGACACCGTGCAGTGGCACACGCCCACTGACGACCAAGCGTCGGGATGCCCCTTCTCACGACTTGCCCGTGAACACATCGCGTCTCCGCAAGGAGGGGAACTAGAAGTGAAGAGAGCGGGGGAAGGAGACGCCCTCCCCGCCGGGGTGACCAGGCCTCCTCCCCCCGCTAACGAGAGGAAGACGTCGCGGTCCGAACTGTTACCGTCCGACGCCACGAGGCGCGTGAGCAGCGAGAGCGGGCTGGGTCCCGACCTGCGCCGGACCAGCAGCGAGAGCGACTCGGAGCCCCGCAAGGTGAGCTCCGACTCGTGGGGGGACGTCGACGCCAGCTCCGGCCGCAAGCCTTTGAACCTGGCCAGCCTGGTGGAAGGAGTGGGCGCGCTCATCATGCCTTCGGTGAGTACACAGCAAAAAAACATGTTTACACCTTAATAGTGTACGTCACATCATTACGGTTGCCATAGCACCACATTTACCCGCCACAAATGTTGTTACCAGTTACCAGGACGCTTGTGCTTTTGAGGTCTGTTTGTGCTTTTGAGACCACCTCAAACGCACAGCCACCTCAAAAGCACAAACAGACCTCAAATGTAGTCTCCACCAGACTTCTTTGCAGGCTTAACAAATAGTAGAAATCGGCCTAAAAGGGTAATTTAACTGGCCAGAGGAATTGTAACTGGTCGACCAGGAAGGGTCCAATTGCCTGTGCAAAGGAGTCTGGTGGAGACTACTTTTGAGGTACAGTGTTTGTGCTTTTGAGCTCTTTTTTTTGCCTTTGAGGTGACTGTTTGTACTCTTGGGGCCTATGGCAAAGCGTGGTAAATGTCGATGTCCCCTTCGCAGACCTCCAGACCTAGTCCTGTCATTCACGGTGTCAGTCTGCATATTTATGCGGTGCCTCCGACTCCATCGGATTGAGAAATCGTCCGACACTGCCCCAAATCAATGTAGCACCACAACCTTTACCTCCTACACCTGGAAACAATCTAAACAGACATTACAAAGGTTGACATCTATTAATCTATTCCCCTGGTTGGGTTTGGACGCATCGGAAGGAATGAGGATGTTATAAACAGCTTCGTGGAGATGAATTTATTCAGTTCGCCTGCTTGCATCAATGCTCGCCGCCCGATGTGACCGACAAGCCCCCTGAGGGATGGCGTTTCAATCGATTGAAAAACACAAGAGTCGCTAGCCTCCATAGTATGGCCTCTACCAGGCTTGAGGAGGCGGCTGGAAAGAGTAGAAATCGGCCAAATAGAGGGATAAGCATGCCAAGGGAGTTTGTCCGTTGAGAGAACAGTTCGCCGCACCCAACGGACAAACTCCCCTGGCATGTTATCTCTCTATTTGGCCGATTTCTACTCTTTCCAGCCGGCTCCCCAAGCCTGGTAGAGGCTACCATAGCATGCCAAAAACCGGGGGTTTGGGGGGTCTTCAAGGTCTTTTGGAGCTTTTATGTGCTATTTTCTGATTGCATATAGACAACATTATTACTGCCGGCCTGGTTGAATTACCCCCGTTTTTTTAGAACTGGGCTAATCAGAAAACAGCCGAAGACCACCAAACCCCCAGTTCTATGTAAGCCTGCTACGGAGGCTAAAGAGCTGCGCTCTCACACATGTTTGCCCCTTCAGACAACAGCGCAACAAAACGGCTGCAGTGTGATCCTTTGTGCCTTTAGATGAATGAAAAGTGGCAACAGCGGACGCACTTTCAACAAGATTTCCGAGAAAACAAAAAGGCCTTTCGGTGGCGAGGCTCACAAAACCTGTAGCATGTTTTGAAGAAAAAATACAGCACTCTCTCTTGGCTACAACCACTAAATTTAGAATTGTAAAGAAACATCCTGTATTATATGATGTTTAGTGTCAGCTGTTTTAAATTGTGCTTAAGCATTACATATATACTGTTACTTGAATTAATGGAGAGGTATTTCATGTTGCATTCCTCACCTTTAAAAATGAAACTGAACTGAACCGAAATGATAAAATTAGACAAGCGCTATCTAACAGCGTCGAAGTACAATAAGGAGATGACCTTTTTACAGCGTTCTAATAAGCTCTTCCATAATCCGCCACATCGCCTAGCACACCGCTAATTATGACAGTGAGCATGAGAACTCCCCAATTACTGAATTAGAATCTGCGGCTGGAAACACGGCACTAATTTAGCCTCCATAGCTAGCGTGCCAAAAACTGGGGGTTTTGGGGGTCTTCATAGTCTTTGGGAGCTTTTATGTGTTATTTTCTGATTGCATATAGACAACAGCCGGCCTGGTTGAATTACCCCCGTTTTTCTTAACTGGGATAATCAGAAAACAGCCGAAGACCACCAAACCCCCAGTTCTGTAAGCCTGCTACGGAGGCTAGCACTAATTTCACCTTCGCGAGACTGAGAGGACATGCTGGCGCATATGGCGACCATGCCTGAAGGGTTTACCGCTACGGATCAACAGGTTCCATCCGCGGAACTGCGTGCGATATTCAGTCGTCTTTCATCGCATATTGGCACAACTAGAGTCATTACTTTCGTATTCATTAGTGCTTTTAAAGCTTGATATAGTGAGCATGTGGCTGCCCGATCATGTAGCAAAATTGTAACCATTTCAAATGAGCGAGCAGTAGAGGAAAACAAGATTGACTGCACTAAAAGACTGCGCATCTGTGCGTCACTGAAGGTCAGACATACAGGTAATGAGGTAAACAAGGCTGTTTCTCAACCAACTCGATATATTTTCAAAATCTATCCAGAAATGTATCCAGTTTTAAAATGTATCCAGTTTAAAAACGTATCCAGTTTAAAAATGTATCCTGGTTAAAAATGTATCCAGTTTAAAACTGCGTCCAGTTTAAAAACGTATTCAGTTTAAAAATGTATCCTGGTTAAAAACGTATCCAGTTTAAAGATGTATCCAGTTTAAAAATGTATCCAGTTTAACATGTATCCAGTTAAAATGTATCCAGTTTAAAGATGTATCCAGTTTAAAATATATCCAGTTGCTTGAGTAGCAATTTCCCTCGGCCTGTGAAACTCTGCGTCCTTTTGAGAAATTGCTCCTGGCTAAGCTAACACTAATGATGCGTTTAAAAAGATCGCGGTACGTCTGTGCTTGATATGAGAAGGCTGAAGATTAAGGCATGCGTCACAGGCTTATACAGGCTCCCAGCTCCACAAGTGGTACTCGTGTGATAAGGACAGATACCGCCAGGCATTGTTCAAACGTGAGGATGGGGTGGGGTGGGGGTGGGGCAAAATGCGTTATGAAGCGATGTTTCTATGTAATAACAAGCTCGAAGGATAATCTCTAAGCAGATGTGAGTAGACAGGATCTTCACTGTCATATCTGCTTGAATATCTGATTAACCTCAAATAGACGCAATGAGAGAGAATAGTTGCAGCTAAAAACATGAAAATTAAGAAAAAAGAATGATTTATTCATGTTAAAATCACTCGCAGCTAGTAGCGCATCTACAATATTTTCTTCTGTTTCCCATTTCATTCACCAGTACAGTACAAGCAAGAAAGCCCGATGAAAACGCCAGAAACGCGTCAAAAATAAACCGAAGCCCCAAATCTCTGCTTGGAGAGTTACAGTATGCCTATAGATCGTGATGCGACATTTTTAATCTGTCACTTCTGAATGCGGAAACCAATACCGTCCTCTCTTTGTATTCGTTTTGGCAGCAAGAGGCCTTAATCAAATACCGGCACCTAAGAGCTCGCCCCTCTCTCTCATTGATCACATTTCACAGAGCAGACGCAGAGATCTATTTCCGCGCGCTCGACTCTGGGAATTCTCCGGCTCCAGATTGCGTCCACATTGTTAAATTGCAGCCGATCCTTGGCGAGCTTTCTCAACATCTGTCTTGAAAATCAATCGTATTTCAGAGTTCAGCGCTCCAAATAACCCTGCCTAGTTACTTCCGGGACGGAAGTATTGTTTTGGGCGGCGCTGGTTTTAGCGGGAGTTTGTATGTTTTGAGTCCTGAGCAGCGCTAGCGGGGATCGGAGTGGAAGGAGTTTGGGGATCAGTTTATTGACAGGGTTGTAACACGGGTGGTAAGATATGGTATGAGGTCACCAGGAATGTGTAATCATGGCATGAAACATAAACCAAGATGTAATACCGGAATATGTTACTTTATACTATCGTGTGAGTAATGGTGCATTCTATATGACGTAATTCAATCGGGTATTTCACCATGACCAGCAATTAGACAACTGATGTAATGATGATTGTTTATGCTTTTAGATTGTATGCGATGTATGTATCCATTGTTTTTATAAATAAAAAAAATCATGCAAAACAGTTCTAACACATTCACGTTAACGCAAAGCACACAGCTTCTCGGAAGTCTGAAATCTCTGATGGGAATTCTCAGCCTCCAGATTACATCCACATTGTTAAATTGCAGCGATCCTTGGCGAGCTTTCTAAACATCTGTCCTGAAAATCAATCGTATTTCATAGTTCAGCGCTCCAAATAACCCTGCCTAGTTACTTCCGGGACGGAAGTATTGTTTTGGGCGGCGCTGGTTTTAGCGGGAGTTTGTATGTTTTGGGTCTTGAGCAGCGGGGATCGGGGTGGAAGGAAATTGGGGATCAGTTATTTTTTTATTTTATTTTATGAAGATTTACCACATTTGTGGAAGGATTGACATAACAGGTGACTATCACCTTTTTCAAAGATGCCAACCCCGAGACAAGACTGTAAGGTTTGAACCACTCACACCGGGAAGGTCCCCTACTCTTTTCGATAAGTGCGGTGGGTTCTTTAACGTGCGTGGGGTGTGGCTCTCCCAAACACGGGACCTCCATTTAACGTCCTATCCGAGGGACGTCCCTAACCAAAGCTAGGTACTCATTTTCACCTGAGTGAAGTGAGGAAATTCGTGTAAAGTACCTTTCCCAAGGGTACAACGTCGGGGCGCATGTTCGGACTTGTTCGGGTACGACCCGGAATCGAACCCGGGTCTCCCCGTTTCGGAGTCCAGTGATGTACCACTACACCACACGACGCCACAAAGTTGATTGACAGGGTTGTAACACGGGTGGTAGAATATGGTATGAGGTCACCAGGAATGTGTACTGTGTAATCATGGCGCGAAACATAAACCATGACGTAATACCGGATGGGAATATGTTACTTTATACTATCGTTTGAGTAATGGTACATTCTATAACGTAATTCAATCGGGTATTTCACCATGATCATGCAAAACAGTTCCAACACATTCACGTTATCGCAAAGCACACAGCTTCTCGGAAGTCTGAAATTTTAATGCGAATTCTCAGGATCCAGATTGCATCCACATTGTTAAATTGCAGCGATCCTTGGCGAGCTTTCTAAACATCTGTCTTGAAAATCAATCGCATTTCAGAGTTCAGCGCTC